ACTGTTAGCGAGGACTTTGTTCTATTGTAATTAGGATGTAAAATTCAGCGACTCAATTGAACTAAAAGCTTTTTTTCTCCCACTCTCTCGCGCTCTGTCGAGCGACGAAAACACGTCTGTAATCGGGTTGGAGAAAAAAAAAGAAACGTAACAACGTCTATTTTTGCTCATAGCGCTTTGCCTATCGAAGCAGGTACACAAATCGAGCCCATAGCTCGGAGCGATGTCGAGTTTTTAAAGCGCGGCACATCGACATGGAATGCCTCGTGAGCGCGCCGTGACCCGGCGAACTTTCCCACCCTTCCTAGCCAACTCTCACGACAGATAGCAACGACAACTACGACGACCAAGTACGACGCGTCTCCCTCTCTCTCTCTCTCTCTCTCTCTTTCTCGTTTTCTGCGCCAAAGACACGCACGCGCGCGCGCGCATTTTACGCAAAAGCAAAACAGCACACGCACAATGGGAATGACGACAGAAACGAGATCACAACGAAAAAGTCCGAGTGGCTGCGGTGGCGCCGCACAATAGCCCATTGGCCGCCGCCGCCGCGACATCGATCGGAAGCTGCGCGCGCTTTATCGCTGAAAAATCAAGACTCTAATTGTTAATAGATCAACGATACAATGCCCCGATTTGCTAATCGAGCTGCGGCCAGACTCGCAAATAATTTAGCCGTAAGGATTGCAATTTATCGGTTGACAATCGACCACAACGCTGCGTACAGCTGCTCTCTGTTATTACAGATCTGTAATATTGTTATTAGCTTATCTACCGCAGCGCCGAAGCTTGTAAACATACTGACTCGCCAGAAAAATATACCGTGAATGGGAGCGTGTTATATTAATAAGGCACACGTGGCTATCAATTCGCGGGAACGCCATTGCTTTCGAAATTCGTGTCTAACATCGGCCCGACTACTCCTGCGAACTGCTAATCCCTGTACGCGCGTTGCAGCAAGTCGCGATTGTCGACGGGGGAAAACGGCGAGGCTTCGCGAAGGCAAAGATGAACGTTGAGCAAAAATGCGCTCGATAAAGTGACGAACAAGCGGCCCTACGTCACATGCACGCGTTCGGCCGAGCGATAAGCATCGCGCATTCCGATATGCAACAAGTGCAATATCGCGGGCTCGTCACGTCGCGTGAATCAACCGCTGCCGCTCGGACTAGGTAGTCTTATTACCCGAGCGGGCGCCGCGAAGCCCTCAATAAACTCGGCTGTTTATTCGAGCACGTGCAGCCGCGAGCGTAATTAGCAGAGGCGCAAGCCAGCCGATTGTTATTTGTTGAGCCGGCAGCTTCCTTTTTTCGCCGCTCGGCAGATGCTCAGCGCCGATTTCGGCGCTTAACGGGACGCGCGCGCGCGCAATTTTCGCCGGTTTTCTCGTTCGTTCGTTTGTTTTCTGTTCGCGATTGTTGCGCGGCGCCATTACACGGGATTTGCGAGCACCTCGCTGCAGTTCTTGCGGTTGCCGTGCGATGACACACTTAGATCTCGCAATTGGTAGATCAAGAAAACTACGTCGGCTGTGGCGGCTAGAGCCGCTGATTTAAAGAGCTACCGGTGCGCTCGAACGCATTTCCAAGTGAGCGGCCGATGGGACGGTGGCTCTCCGCCAACGCGATAGCACTCGGGTGGCCCTCGCTCGCGGCGAACGAAAGGAGAGCAAGAGAGCAAGCGAGAGTGAGAGAGAGAGAAAAGAAATCGGGCGTTCGCTAGGCTGTCCCTTACATCACGCACAACTAACCGGCGCGCAAGCGCCGCATGAAATTTTCGCAACAGGGTCGTAAACAAAAGCCGATAGAAGAGTGGAAGCCGTGAATTCCCGGCTGCCCGCTCGGCCGACATACAATAGCCGCGGCGTACCGCGAGAGAGCGAAGGCGTAAGCAGGAGATCGAGAGACGCGGTGTGCGTGTGTGTGTCACCGGCGCGAGCGAGTTTCGCAAGTGCCGCTGTCTGGGCTGCTGCCGCCGCTGCTGCTGCTGTTGCTGCCGTTGCCGACTACCAGACGCACTACGCGTCGTTTGTTGTCGCGCGACCAGATATTACACGCTTGAACTTTGCTTTCCCGGCTGGTTTACACGCTTAGCGCCCACTGCCGTTCGCCAGATCGCTTATGGTTGGACTTTTCCAACCGAATTGTCACGGGATTTTTCATTCGTCATTCCCGAGTCCAACGCATCGAGTTGCACGTCAATTCAGTCATTTTTATTGACACGGTAAAATTGCTGGCCTTTCAAAATGGTGCTGAATAGTGCGGCCACTGACCCGTCAAACAATATCCAATATCCCAGAGGTTTTAGCAACATTGTCAAACAGCGCAGAGCAATTTGCGCTGTTACGTGTGCGGGAATACATGCTCTCGCTTTGAGCTTATTACATTACCGTTATTATTGTCATGGCTGCCGGCGTCTCTCTCTCTCTCTCTCTCTCTCTCTCTCTCTCTCTCTCTCTCTCTCTCTCTCTCTCTGTCTCTCTCTCTCTCTCTCTCTCTCTCTCTCTCTCTGGCCACGTGCTCGACAATGCAAGAGACAAGCTCGCCATGTAGGTTCGACACTGGTTCGCCTCGAAATTTTTCCGAACACAGACGCGTTGTCTCATTAACATGACGAATGCGTCGCGCGCGCGAATCGCCTTTTTCCCATTTTTCAGTTCTTTTCCCGGAGACCTCGGTCCGTGGTCCGTCAATGCGCGCCTTGCGTTTCAAAGCACACCTATAGGAATAAAGCAGCGCGCGCTACTTGGCAGCGTACCTCGCTCGCTGCACGCACACGCCCTCGACAGCGTAATTAAATCAGCGTGTTCATGCGCGCGATGCAACCATTCGGAGGCTCGTCCTCGCTCCGCGCGCTCGTTTCCCAAGAAGATCTACGCGAGACGGTGGTTGTTACTTCGCGCGCAAAACAAACGACTGCCCATCCTCGTCTCGCGCCCGACACGAGATCGTTCAATTGAGATTTCATGCGTCTCTCTCGCTCTCGCCTAGCCCCCACGGAAGCCTCCCGAGCTGCTGGCGCGAGCGCATAGACATCCGAAGCCGGCAAATAATTGAGCGCCGGGCTACAAATTGCCCGTGCCAGAGAGAGAATGGGTTTCTCGTTACGCGCACGCGGCCGGGCAGAGCAGCTCGCGCCCGGGATAATTAGAAGCGCACGCGAGGGAGGCTGGCTGGCAGCGGAGGACGCCCGTGCGGCGCTGCCCAGTCCGCCTAACAGTACTTGCCGGAGGCGACTCGCGCACTAGCCCTTTTTACGGGCGGCTCGCGGCAGCGCCGGCGTCTAATTATTGCCGTTGTTTGGCGACATTTGCCGCGGGAACGCAAGCGCGCGGGTGCAAGGTGCGGAGTCCACGCTGGCCGGCAGCAAGTCGAGGCACGCCAGCTCGACGTTTTATACGCGATACGTGATGGGCACGAGCTTCCCGCTGGGCTTTCCAGGAAGTGCAAGTGCGGACAGCGCATAAACCGCTCCCAAAAGTAACAATCGTAAAACGCGACATAATGGCCGCGCGGCGCTCGCGTATCAGCTCGCATCTCGGCCGCGCAAGACAATGCTGGCCCATCGAATTAGATCCTCATCTCGCTTTATAAAGACGTTCGCAAGAGAGAGAGAGAGAGAGAGAAAGTTCCGCGATTCGCCGACGATAGCGCGCGACTCGTTGCGGGGGGTCGCGCGAGAGCGCTCATTTCGCATTCCGAGCGCGCGGCCCAACAACAACACTTCGACGCGCGCACTCGTGCCCGTTGCACAATCGCAATTAAAGCCGATCGCGCGCTGCAGCCTCGGCTAATTTATTCGAGCGCTCGGCGACGTGGCGTCGTTTTTCCTTCACCCTCGTCGTTCGTTGGCGCGTGTGACTGTTGCTGCTCGTAATAATCGCTACTAATTTGCTCTCAGTCGATCATATGGTTTTTTGTCTCACCGGACGAATCTATCAAGGGTCACTCGTGCAAGTTGGACACTTCATTACTCGTCAACTTTAGTGCACTTGGCGCATCGTGAAGCCTGCTTTTGAGGATTCATTTTGTTTGTTGTTATTGCGTCAACAGTTCATGTATTTTCAAATATATAACTAATCGCAGAATTCAAACTGGCGCTTTAATCTTTTTCCTAATAAAATATCAACTATTCGATTATATCGATTCTATCGTAAACCTTGATAACAGCAACTTGTCAACTGTCAACATAACGATGGCTGCATTTTTTTACTTAAATTGCCATATTCTATTTACTATTCTAAATCTTTACTTGCAAATAACGTGACTCTTGGTTACCGTGAATAAGTGCAAATACAATTATAAATTAATAACGTCCTCTCCGGAAACTAACTTACTCCAAATAGTTGCTTCATAATTAATTTCATCTTTTTGGTATATCATTACACGATTAATATCTATCTATTGTGTATAATTTAAGCATGCCTGATAGAGACAAGTTATCAAATAGTTAGGATCGGAAAATATGCAATATTTGCATAGAAAAACCAATTTTTACACATAATTTATTAATAATAAATTCATATTGCATTCTATAGTAAAGTATTTTTATTGACAGAAACATTTTACAAGTACATAGAACCCAAATGCCAGTAAATTCAAATTGAATGAATTGGTACTCAAGACGACATCTTTTGGTAACACTGCATACTAAGTGTATGGTGCTGTGTTATCTGGCTAGGTAGTAAAGTCCGAAAATAATCATAATATACATACCATCGTTGACATTTTCAGGCATCTGTTTTATCGACGATTGGTATTTAAAAATCAAGTTTGGTGGGAAATGGGAATCTTTAGACGAAGACATGTCGTTAATAGGAATAGCCAATTTTTTTCTAAATAATTTTTATTTTTTGAAAAAACGAATGTTTGAAGTAATAGGTTCATCAAGAAAAGAAATAACTACTGTTATATCCACTAAGTTTTATGTCGCAATAGTTCCAACCGGTACTTTTATAGTATTGTCGCCGTTTAAAAAGAATATTCTTATTACAAGAGAACATCTAGCTTCTTGTTAGGAGCCGATATTTTCTCAAAATTAGTACCCTCTCGCTACAAAAATACCATTTTTCCCAATCATCAGAAAAGGGATGATATAATAACACTCAGAGTTGTGAAAATTTCAGTACTATTTTTATAAAAATGTCAATAAATATTAAGCGTACATTCTAGTAACATTTTGTGATTTTAAAACTAAGTATGCGAGATATCAAAATATTACAAATATGAAAATAATATAAAATAATGTTCACTTTATCGTTTTTTACGTATATACATGGTCTTCGAGTTATATTTGACAAGGTAATTGCACGTAATTCCTTACTCTTACGATAAGTCTTCGATCGTAACACTTAAAATATAATAAAATGATTTTTATTCTAAACTATGTGTTTTATAAAAGTTGAGAAAACTAGTTATTCTAAAATAGTATAAAGCTTGCCAAATATTTTAGGAACATTATCGCACAGGAACGAACCCATTGATCCATCAGCAAATTTTTAATGACGGAACACGGTACACGTAAACATTTTTGCGTTAAATGTTCATATTTACATTCACAGCCTTATTGATAATCTATTGCAATTATCGTAAAAGTAAATTTTATCATCAAAACCAATATTAAAATTTTGTTTACAATTCAGAATTGCAACCAATATCGCGAAATCCATGAATGTGCACATTAACAAATGACCCGGTCATAACGATATGCTTTTCGGTGCTTATCCAATTAATAATTTACAGTTACTATTACTAAGATAGATGAAATATTTGCAAATTAAAATGGTACAACAAATACTCGTGGACGTTTCTGTGATGCAAATATATAAACATAAACGTACGTCAAAAGATAATAAACTCGTTTATCATAAAATATGATCTAACTGTCAACGCTAATTATAGGTTTAATATCTGTAGCGTTTGTCATGGATACCTAAAGCTAATGTAATTCAGTAATGTTTCTAACCGTTAGCAAGCAATCGTCTATGATTACATCCAAGTCTGTTCCCCTATGCTCAGTCTCAAGAAAATAAAGCAACGAGTAAGTTTTGCACGAGCCAGTCGTTACATTGGCGATGCACGATTCGGCCGACGAAAATGTTATTCGCTATACTGTTCGATGAAACTTGGCTGATTTGCCCACTAGGAACGCCAAATCTTAACGATTCACAAGAACGACATGTTGTTGAAGTTGGTCGCGTGAGTGATCGGCGAGCTTCTTTCGCTCATGGGTATGATACAGTCGACGGAATCGGTGCTGGGCCGATCGAGAAACGAGCTGGTAACTCCGGGCTGCATGTTAACGTACCTAGCGGCATCGTCGCTATTGGAGCTGCCGCTGCCCAAGCCAGAATCTATCGCATCGCCCAACAATGGCTCGGTGCTCTCTACGTGCTCGGTCTGCTCGCCATGAATAATGTCGGCATTTCTATCTCGCTCCGCCAATTCGTCGATGTCGAGAAGAGGCGTGTCACTGGTTTTTTCGTTTTTCGCGTCAGTGCCGCTGGTAGTCAACGATGGCTCTTCCGGCCAGGGACACCTGTCGGCTGTCGTGCTCAGCTGCATTTCCATTTGGTCGGTGTGCTCCTGAACTTTGGGTTTCTCGGGACAGGCCGCTACCACTCGCGGGTTATTTGCCAAAAAGTCCACGATTTCCGGTGCAGTTGGCCTCTTCGTCTGGTCTATCGACCAGCATGAGATTATCAGTTTATCTCTGCAAAGCGACCAGTTCAGATTTAAATATTAAGTTATTCAATTTGAAGGCATGATTCATTCGTCACGTGAGAGTTAATTAGAAAATTGCCGGTCTTTTTCCTCATAATTATTGATGAAATATCATCTACTTACAATGGCGATTTAACGTTGTGCGGCACGGTCAGAGAATTACCGTCCGTGACGTACTTGAGCACTTCATTGTTACTCATGCCTTGGAAGGGAAATCTAGCGCAGGTAATAATTTCGTAAAGTAGAACACCGTACGACCAGACGTCGGACGCCGGTGTAAAAAGTCCTGTACTCAACGACTCGGGAGCCATCCACCGTATCGGAAGCATTACTGTAAGAACAAGTATGCCATTAATCAGACAATTAACTCGCAGTCTCGTGTGGGTGCGCGGGTGCGTGCGTGGGTGCGTGCGTGGTTGTGTTTACAAATGAAAGCAACGATGAAGAAATTGGCTCGTCGAGGCTTTGGCTTACCCTTCCTGTGTAATTTGTAATAGTCGTTCTCGTACATAGGCCTCGTCATGCCAAAATCGCCGAGTTTGCACGTTCGCTGAGCATTGACGAGGCAGTTTCTCGAGGCAACGTCCCTGTAAAAGAACAAGGCGAGTCCTGCTGTAAGCTTCCATCGCGTGACGTCGAGCGGTTACACCTATTCTTTTCGATGTTCGCTTACCTGTGCACATACTTGAGCTGAGCTAAGTAGCTTAGAGCTCGAGCAATGTCGAGAGCCATCCCGGTGAGCAGCTTGGCCGATATTTCTTCGTTATCCCGGCTGTATTTGCCGCCGACAAGGTGACGCCGGGCAAGCAAGTAAGTCTTTAGATCGCCGTAAAGCATGAACTCCATGACAGTCAGCACGGGCTCGCATTTAATGCAGACGGCCAATAATTTGATAATGTTTTTGTGGTCGAATCGCTTCATCACTTCGACCTCGCTGAGAAAATCGAGCTTTTGCTCGGTGCTGCTTCCCATTTTGAGCGTCTTCACTGCCACGGCCAGCCATCCTCTCTCCGGGATACATGCTTCCCCGCCGTAAACCGCTCCGAAGGCTCCTTCGCCCAGCTTGCGATTGATCACCACGTGCTCCCTTGGGATTTCCCATTTGTCGAGGCTCGACGCGTCGGGTTGTAGGTAGTCCAGACCCAGAGCTTTCATGTACTTCTCGTGCGCTCGAACTTTCTGATCGTACCTACATTATCACAGGCAGACGGTTTAGGCGTCTTGCTAGACGATCGATTTCAACAGCCTTGGATTACTCACTTTCTCTTGATGCTGATGACGATGACTAAAAGGAACAGTCCGAGCAGTCCAGAGCCGATAATATTAACTATGACTATTGCACCCTCGCAGGAAACGTTGAGCAGCTCTGCGAATCCGGAAAACACGCATTTCTTTGGTGGCTCCGAGCCGTCGTCTGGCTTTTTGCCGCTCAGCCATACGATAGCCGACGTATTTAAATCTAAATTCCCACCGATCACTTCGTTCGTTTCCTCGGATATATTTGGATGAAAATTTCCTACGATGTGGGACTCGCCGTCAATATGCTGGTAGACGTTGATTACCGGGAACCGCGAGCGAAACCCGTCGACAAACTTGATCCTACCCGATACCTATGATAAATAAAGCTCATGAGCTTGCGCTCACGGAACATGCTGTTTTCAAATCAAAATACAACTGGGCGTTTTTGTTTGGCGCGATTCACTCGCAAAGTGGCGAGGCATTAAAACTATCCGGAATCACAGGATGCGAATCTTTATACGGAAGAAATGAATGGAGTAGCATTGAATGAAACGTGGTACTTGTGGAAGAAAATTTGCACTCACCCCATAAAAGTCAGTCTTCTGGATGATGTCGATGAAGTTGGTGACGGTCGTCTCCGAGTGAAGATTGAAAAGCGCATTGGGATCAGTTTTGAACAGCCGGTCAGTAGCGTAAGCGTAGACCCACATGGCATCGTAGGCGTAGCCAGCGTAAGGTGAGGTGGGCTCGTTACGGGAGGCACAGAAGTCTTGGTAATTGTCGCGCCACTGCCGCACGGTGATGCCCTCCTGCATGAGACTGTCGTCGGGTGCAAAGTTGGCATGAGAGATGCTGAAATGGCCGTTTATGGCCCGCCTCATCTCGTCAGTGGTGCAGGGTATGGTTTCGTTTTGCGTTTTGTAGTAGTCCGCGTCGTACCACTCGTCTTTCAACCACTGCGGCAGAAACCAGACGTAGCCCTACGGGAGACAGCCGCTGCACGTTAAAGGATAATCGGGGCACGCGTCGACCGCTGTCGGCATTAACGCAAGCGACATGTATATTTTTTTTACCTGGGCAGCCGTCATTTCCAATCGGTAGGCCTCGCACATAGCTTGTCGAGCCACCTGATCGTTAACATCGGATATTATGATTCGCGCTCGCTTCTGCTTCAAGTCTTCCAAGTACTGCAGTCGCATTATTAATGGCGGTCAGATGACTATCGAGGGCTGAGCAAAAGCAGATGGAACTTACCTTGGTTAGGGTATCGGGTTTCCACTCTCGTGGAAACTTGATATTAGCTACGAATGTTATGCCATTGGTCCGCAGCATGTCTTGCATGTAGGAAATGTACTCGGTGTACTTGAGGCCGTCCTCGGAAAAGGCAGCGACTCGGTTCCAGTTGAGCTTGTTGAGCAGCTGCGAGTAGACGTATTTGTACTGCCGATTCTCGCCGATGGTCCTGAACAGATACGGGTACTTGGTTTTGTCGCTGAAGCCAGAGCCCTCGGCGCCATAACTCATGATCGCCGTGTGATAATGCTTGGACACACCGGCCAGCGGCTCGATCGTTTCGGAGCAAGCGGGTCCCAGTATGCCGATGAGCTTGTGAAACTTGTACTGTAGAATGTAGTCGATGAAGGCCTTCATCACCATCTCACTCTTGCATTGGCCGTCGTTCACGATCATCTGCAAATTGTAGTCCCGCAGAACGGAGACGTCGGCGTTGATGGCCGTTCTGGCCATTTGCGCCGCGAGGACGATCGACTTAGCCGTGTAGAAGGTGCCGCTCATCGGGAAAATTCCACCCACGTAGAGGATGCTCTTGTCCTCTTGCCTGGGCATCCACTGCTGGAGGGTGAAGTTGGCGTTGTCCCGCAGCCATTCGCAGGCGACGTCCTGCTCGATGAGCGCCAGCTTGGATTCGCTGCTGTACTGCATGCTGTTCAATTTCTCGTTGTACTTGTTGATTAGGCTCTCGTACTTGTCGTCGCTGTAGTGCATCAGTTTGATCGACTCGTAAGCCAATTTGGCGATGGTCGGGAAGTCGCCCCACATGAGCTTTTCCAATCTCTTGGTCTCGTACGCGCAGCCCTGGCTCGCGCCGCGAGTCTGGCACCTCGGGAACGCGACGTTCACGAACTGGCGCTCGTTGGGTATGATGTTGCTCGGCGTCCAGTGCACTACGACCAGCGATCGCTCGGGCGGCAACGAGCCCGAGCTCTGCTGCAGGTACTCTTTGGTCAATGATTTGATTATTTGCCTGAGGTGCGGTCCTACCCAAACGACTTTGGCGTAAAGCTTCCAATGATCGATGTGGTCCTTGACGAACTTGGTCGTCTCGGCGTAAGCGCCGAGCACCAAAGCGCACGGTTTGTTCGACTGGCACTGAGCGGGCACGTACATTCCGCCTTGGCAGAACGCCTCTCGACAGTAAAATTCGGCCTCGTCGTTGCTCGTGACGCTCATGATTTTGCGGAAGTTCGCGTCGCTGACGGCGAAGCGCGCGGCAGTCTCTTGCTTGGTGAACGTCAGCCATGTGTCGGTCTGCCTTGACAATCTGCTCGGTATGAACCAACCAAAGTGACCTGGCGACGTTATCAAGCCGACGGGCAACACACTCAAGTTGGCGTCGTCGGTGCGGCTGTTGAGGGTCCCCACCGTATCGTCGAAATCCGGAGGAACCCATACTTCCATGTTGATCATCACCTTTGGCGTTCTGTTCAACGAGCAAACGGCATCGTATCAATGTTCATCAATTACGATTCCGGCTTCATTTCTTATTTGCTCTATACTTACTCGGCAGATCGGGCCCCAGACAGCTCGGTGATAGTCCGCGTTAGATCGAAATCATCCTCGGTCTCTATCAATGAAATGTTTGCGAAGCCGAGTGCCTCTTCAAGGTAAATCTTGGCAACTCTGCTGACTAGCCTCTGGGTTGTTACCCTCTTGGCTACGCCAAAGGTTATATTTACCGATGTTTCTTGGATCCGAACTTCTCGCTTAGGGTTCACTTCTGTCGATTTGAAAACAAAGCAAACGCATCGACTGTCAATAAATTCCAACTTGGATATCATCGTAAATCTTTGCTACCCGTTTACACACCTTGTAACATCGTTAGGCATTGATTCGCAGAGGCAGCCGTTCCGAAGAAGGCTGCGGCGAGCAGTAAACACAGTAAGCTCCGTGTTCCCCACATCTTGACTTTCATCTAGAACATGCAAGTGGTGATTTTTGAAAATGCCGTCCAATGGTGGGTCTGCAAGTGGGCATGCATGACTCGGCGCTGTTTGTCGCGAGTGATTTTCGCCTACGCGAAGTGAAATCGTCCGAGACGGCAGCGACAGCGCGACAGCGCGATCGAGCGGCGCGCGAGCCAAACGGATGTTAACTTTTTGACAATGACGGATACGAGAGCGCGAGCGGCTCGCCTCGCGAAAGTCAACGATTATCGCGCGCACGCTCTGATTTTTAATTCGTTTCTCTCTTTTCCTTTCGAGCGCAGAATTCACGCTCAGAATTGACACGAGCGCGCGCGCGTGCAGCTTCTATTTATAAACTTGTTTATCGAGCCTCATTGTCCCGCTGGCACCCGTGCGCAGCTGTATAGAAAGTATCCAATTTGACGCGCGAACGCGCGTCCGAGAGAGCTTTCCGTGTATTCCCGGCAGCTCGCGCTCTTCGACAACGCGATCGTCGCTAAAAATAAAAGCCTACTCCGCGAGAAACAGCCTGCCGGCGAGCGTCCTTGAAGCGGCGCGCATAATTTTCGGCAACGCAATAACAGCGCGGGACCGAGGGACCGCGGAGGGGAGAGTAGGGGAAGAGAGGCGCACGCGACTGATAACCCAATCGGAAAGCTGCGTGTCGGGGAACAAAAAAGAAAGACAGGCCTGCCGCTCGGCATCTGCGTACACCTGTGCGCCCAGCTGACTACGTAATCTGTCGCACGGAATGCCCGAGAGGCGGAGCGCAAAAGGCCCCGTCGGTCGGCGAGCGACGTCACGGCGGCACGAGGAGTCATCGGCGCGCGCAAGCTCGCGGCGATGACTAATCGCGCTGCTCCCGGCGGCGCATCTTGTCGCGGCTTTTACGGGGAGGCAGATTGATGGGGAGCTCGGCGCGTCGTGGTGAAAGTGTGCCACGCGAGCGACCGCCGATCTATATAAGCTCGCGAGAAGCGAGAGTGTTTGTTTACGCGCCGCGGCGAGCGCCGACTATTCTTGGCCGTGGCAGCATCGCGCGCCACATTGCGACACAGTGTCTCTCGGCACTGTCGCCAGTCGCTCCGTCGCGCTCCTAGGGACGCCGCTGGCACGCGCCCGACCAAATAGCACTCGCGCGCTTTTCCAATGGCGTGTAATCGGAGTCTTTGTTCAGGCGCGCGGTGCCTGAGCTTCCTTCTGGTACTTACACCTCTTGCTCGCAGTACCCAGAGCGGATCTCGAGGCTTCTTCGCATCCCGACGACCTCCTTTACACTTGCAGGCGTGCTCTGCATACGACGCGTACCGTCGATTTTGCATGCTTCCTTTTTTGCCCTCGCGCGAGATCACAAGCCAAATCAGGCGCACGGCAGGGCCTTGACGCGCGCGTTATCGTCAGTCCTTATCGAAACCAGCTCATTCGCGCGAACGCTCGACAAAATTGATTCGCGAACGGCCGTTCTCCTTGCGACTTGTTGTCGATCATTCGCGTGGTTAGGCTGATAGGTAAGCGACAGTGTGTCAACGGCCTTAAAGCTCGCGAGTGCAAACGCAGCCGTCTGGTGCCGCGAAAGTTAATAATAAATTTCGTCCGAATTAACAGTATACCGGTTGCAAGACATCTCTCTCGGCGCAGCTGCCATCTAATTATGACGGCGACGAGAGAGAGAAATCTGTGAGCGCATCAGAAAGGAAACGAAAAAAACAATTGCTGGCTTCTCGATAGAGATTCGGAAATTGGCCACAGGACAGGATCTTGAGAGTAAACTTTGCCCATTGACGGGCGTGTGAGAAAAACATCTTGGCGCTCCCCCCACCCTTCTCTCTCTTTTGTGTCAAGTGCTCGTTGCGAGCGCACGCGAAACGAGGCGAAAAAAGGGAACAGCAACCGCCTGCCGCGCGGGTTATCTTGACGTCAGCATCTGCTGTTTGCTTCGACTTTTATAGGCGTGCAGACGCGCGTATACGCATCACAGGCACGTTGCGCACCATAAGAGCGAGCGACGACGGGCCGAGGAGGAACAGTTGTCGAAATGCCGTCAGTGAGCCGATTCTCCGGTAAAGGCCGTCAGGTCACGTAAAGCGCTCCGCTATCGCGACGATGCCGTGGCTCACGCGTGATTCACGCGTCGCGTATGAATTGGCGCGAAACGCCGCGTAACTGTTGCGCGCGTGCACGAATCGTTAGAGGCAACAGTTGCGGCACAATCAAGCTCGAAACGCGCGTCAGCGACGACGACGCTCGTAGCTGGCTGTTGTAGAGTGGCGAGATATGACATTATGCACGTGCGGTGACGTCCGACGACGTATTTTTCCTGGCGTTCGTGCGAGCGCATTTTAATAATAGCATAATGGGCTGTGAGGAGCGCTGAAGCGAGTGAAACTTGAGTCGCCTCGACAGAGAGAGTGCAACGACATTACGACGATTGCCGTAGCCTCGTATCCTTTGAGCAATATCCTTCCTATGCATGCGGCGCTTTCACTGCAGCCGGTGGCTTCGTGCAACACAGGTGAATCAGAACGAGGTTAGAGTCCCGCTTCAGACCATGGGAGGTAATCTCGCGACGACCCCTCTAATTATAGAGAAAGAGAGGGAGGGAGGGAGGCTGGAAAAGCTTTGAGAGACGCTCTGGAGCTTGGCGATTTCTATCGACTGGGCTTCGAAACCAGATTTAAGATACGGAGCAGTGCAGGAAAAACGCCTGTACTTATTAACCTGATAGTTCAAGTAGGATGGCTAGCGACCAGAATAAAAGCAAAGCAGATGATCTTTGACGACATTAGAAATTTCAATCGTAAATGCAAGACCGTGTAGCTTGATCCATTGTCGAGAATCTAGTTTGACAGCTGTCAGCCGTGATTAGCACTTTTTTCCACACTAAAGCTAAATTTCTTGCCTGGATCTCGTACAGTGGCTCATGCTCACGGTTATTTCTGGTGAATAAACGAACAGGTTCCGCGGCGCATGCGAACTTTGTACTTTTGTATAAGGCTCGCGGGTCGATTCACGCCGCAGGAATGCCCGCAAATTACGCTCCCCGCTCGCCGAAATGTCGTGAGCGCGCGGAGGTATCGCCGTCGCGTACGCCGTCTGTAACACGAAAATGAGCGCGCGCTCTCGCTCGAAAACTATCGTGTCTAAAAGCCCAATCGCGTTACCGCCGCGAACGAGTAAATTGGCATTTCCCAAAAGATTGTTTCGTTTTCTCACCCGATGCTGCTGCAACAACGTGTATTCGCCGAAAAATCAAACAACTTATTTTCGGGCTATCGCGCGTTTCGCTTTCGTCTGTTTTGCGCGTACGTGAGAACGTCGGATAAAAAAGTCCACTGTTGCATAATTAAGATCTGATTGGAGCTCTTGCATGCACGGCAAGGCAAGATCAAGTTTTATAAATACAGCTGTAAATAACAAAGAATCAAGTGAGAAAAAGAGGAAGAAAGTGAAGCAGACGAATGCTGATTGGCAGCAATTTGCCACGAATGAATGAAGAAAAATAGCGCACAAGTATCAGGCGGCAGCTAATCTTATCTCGTTGGCGTCGTTCAGACGAAGAGCCGATGGAAAAAAAATTGAACGAAAAAGGAAAGAATCCTATGCGAGTGAGGGCCGATATTGACATTCTGCATCTTCCAACAGCTGATCGTTATCGTATACAAGCACAATAACGTCATAAAACAGGGAACAATGCTCGCTCCGACTCTTTGGTGAGGGGGGAGGGGAAGAGCTTTCTATGCGAGCGCTGGAAAATCAAGCAACAATCGATAGACAAACGATTGGATGCTAATTCGATCGGCACCATAGGACTCCCATTGAAAGAGGAGGTTAACAATTGACATCGAGAGGTTGCGAAAGCTCTTTGTATATATTGCGCTTGCCGGGTCAACGTAAATTAACGGATCCAGCTCTCTCTCTCTCTCGCTCTCTCTCTCTCTCTCTCTCTCTCTCTCTCTCTGCGCAGCGCTGAAGGTCGAGCCGCGTGATCGATGGCGCTGCACTCGCGGAAAAATAGATTGATCGCGCAGACACTTATATTTAGATTTTGATTAACAATTATTACCTTTCCGTATCCACCTTATCTTCATTCATTGCCGTTGTCGTAGTCGCGCGAGAAAACACGTCGTACGGATGTAACCAGTGACCGTCTCTTTGTTCCGCTTTCGGCAAATCGTAAAATTTTCATCTGCGTCAGCTCGTAAACTTTTTTTACGTTTTCGCGCGACGATCGGTGATGAGGTTATATTGAGAGATTGTATGACTAGCAGTTCCGCGTGACGTGAGCGCAATCACGGTTATCTAAGCGCTTGAGGGGAAAAAAGACAAAGAGATTATTTTTATTACTGTACGGCTGTTGTTGTTGATGTTGTTGTTGTTTTTGCCTATTTTATTTTATAATACTTTCACAATGTGTCCGGATCGACGACTCTGCTACCGTTCCTCAACAAAAAATTTAACGGACGTGGTAATGACGAGATTCACTATCGTTTTACAGACTTACGAAATGAGTCTTTCGTAATTTTCGGTTTTTTTTCAGTCGGAAGTATTAACTGGAGATGAATAGACGTTTATTATCGATATGTTTATCGATAAACTCACGCTCGAACTGCACTAGGCAGCTAATGAAAAACTTGAAAAGTTTGAAATGCAACTGACAAATATAACTATTATTTCTTCGATTTTAAAAGACGTCAGCGGCAATTTTGAAGCTGTTTTAGTAATTGTTTCGAGGAAAAGATACTAGCGTCGTCATTCTTCAACTATATTTTTCATATGACAATAATTCTGGTAGATAATTGCAATAAACATGTTTTCAAGATCTGACAAAACACCAGAGCATGGCGTGCGAATAAGATGTGTTATCGCCTACCATATCCGAAACAGCTTATCGTAAAAATAGCACAAGTGCATTGATCAAACCACGAAATCGCATTTAAATAAGGCAACCTAATTGATGAAAGCTCACAAAGGTCGAAAGTCAGAGAAATGCCCTGGCAAATATTTAGACACGCGTTGCAGACGTAGAGGAGAGCAAAAGAAAAGCAGAAGCAGAGCATCGATAAAGCGTGTATAAGCCTCCAGCTTAGACTGACCGTCGCCACCCACATGCTATAGCTGCTGCAGGCAAACAAGCAGAAATCCGCTCTAATTTAGTGGAGGAAAACGGCGCAGTTTCCTGGTCGCGCAATGTGCTAACTACGTGAAATCTGTAAACAATTTGTCATCGATCGTCGTTTTAGGTTTTTTTCCCCTTTGCGTGAGAGGTATTTTTTTCTCTTTCGGGAATAGAAGGAAAAACGTTTTATATATAAAACACTTATTTTTTACTGCAGAATTCCTTTCCTCTAACGGCAATGTGACTTGTCGGCTTGACGCCGCGCTTGTGCTGGAAGTAAGAAAGTTACGAATAACTTTTTAAAGCTCGGTCAAAACAACCGCTTGGTAAAAAGAAACTGGAAACATTTGTAAGACGGAGAATAGGTATTATCTACGCTCGTCCGAAAATAGGAAAGCGAATTTCTTGAATAGTGACAAGAAACTAACCGGAAAAATTGTCGCAATACGTCATCGAAAGCATTTTTGTCCAACGGTAATTTAGATATGTTTTTCTTAGCGAGAACGCCGCCAGTGCTAAGTCTGAAAATGATGCGAAAGTAGAACAAGATTATGAAGCCGCTGAACGCTTTGAAAATGTTCATTCAAGCGATGTGTGACCGTGTAACTTGTAGTATGATATAGAAGTCGCGAAAAAATAAACATGTAAATTAAAACAGTAGCTCGCGACATTTTCGGGTGTATGATAAAAGAACTGCGAAAACAAGCACCGGCATCCGCCTATATACGCGATCAAGCGAAAATAAACGGGCAAAAATCAAGGACGAACTGTAATAATGTTGTTTGTAAAAGTGCTCAACTAACTATAAAATCAATGCTCAGTTGGAAATTTCCAAAATAAAAGAGTAGCTGCGAGGCATTGAATGTATCATGGATAGTCATGAGGCGAGTGTCGATATTAAATTCACTTGATCCGCTGGTAAATCTTAGCTATGGTGATGTAAATTTGGAGTAGGTGACTATTTGTTCTCTCGCTATCCACATTTTCACTCAATATAAGTGAGCTTTACATTCCGGACTCTTCATACTATTTTCGTTTCTCTCAAGAGCGAAATCATTTTAATTGAAGTTTAAATGATAAGATTAGCAGGCTAATTAAAAGAATACGGCTAAGACGCGCACTGAGAATTTATCGAACTACCATTTCGACAATATGAACATTGTTGTTGACATTATCTTTCAGAAAAAAAGATGTATTTCAATTGAAAACAGAATGAGACACGATTGGCATATCGCTAATCTCGAGAGCTAAATACGTGAATGTAATATTCTTTCCAGCAAGCGGGCCACGAAAGTATCAGACTTTCGGATGCAGGTTCTTCAAAAGCGGCAAGAATCTTGTGCGTCCGATTAATCTGATGAGAACGCTGG